CCCCAAAACCCCAAAACCCCAAAACCCCAAAACCCCTACAATTTTTTCTGAAATTGATATTACAAGTTGTTATGATCATAGCTTGCTGAGATTATGTTGTACGAATATGGCTCCTTTGGCTGATTCCAAGGGTGACACTTATCCAATCTTTGAGAAGCCTTGATATCAGGAACCCTCTTTGCAAAATTGGAAGGTTGGTAATGGTCTATGTAATAAGATTGATTCATACTAATGTCTTGATCAAATATAGCATTATTTGATGTTCCTTCATGGGATCTGAAGCCTTCAACCTTGTTACGACTGATATTAACTGCTGATCTCTTCTTTTCATAGTTTATAGGCTCATAAGGGCATTTAGAATCATAGTTATACTTTCTCAGATTTGAGGAGGACCTTACTCCTTCTGCTGGATTATAATTCTTAAGTATGTTGCTAGCTAAACATCAAATCAAATCTCATTACAAGAAGAGCCTAGCCTGTTGTTTTTAGCTGATTCTAGGTTAGCAGACCGGTTAATAACCTCTCTTCTCCTTGGATCCATATGATTTGGAGTCCCTTGCTTGCTATACCTGTTGTAGACTTTCAAGTCAATATCTGTATTCGGAAATCTCTTTTTCTTATTCCTGAAATGTTTGAATCAGAGATATCAGACTTACTTGCCCATCTGATTGGAGGGTTTATTTAGGATTCAGAGGAGGCAAAGGGTTCTTTTCCTTCTGTTCATCTATCATAAAAAATTGCTTCTTAGCCTCTTCAAGGCCCTCTTCATTTCTATACTCTTGTTCATGACGACTAGGGAATATATTAGCTCCTGAGCTTGGGCTTACTCTACAAAGGAAGTTAGAATATAAATCTTATTATAAGTCAAATGTTTTCGAACTATCAACAAGGAAATGTGTAGAAATATGTGACTATCTCTCTGGTTGTTACAAATTAACATTTTGCATGGAAATTCACAAGTTAGAGCATACTACGTGATTGGGTTCTTACCTGTTCCCTTTAGCTTGAGATGCATATTTTCGAGATTTCATTATTTTGGGATCGATGAAATTAGAAACTGGCTTAATATTCAGGTTAGGGTCAGCTATATTGTTCCCTGAAATCACTTTATTCCCGTATCTGCTGAAGTAGGAGTTTCTATTTTCACTCCTGGAGTGAGAATTGACTGGCTTGGAAATTTTCTCCATAAAGTTATAATATTGCTTTTGCATATGAGAAGTGCTTATATTCCTATCAATCCGTTGGTTCAAAGTGCCTGTGCTAAAGTTATCCCCATAACCGTAAGGAGGTTCATATTGGTATTTGGGCTTATTCGCTTTGAGCTTGAAACCCATATTGACTATCCCAGCAGGTTTAGAGCCCGTCTTAACCTTCTTAGACCTCATAAATTCTAGATACTCAGCAGCGGAGTTTTGCTCATTACTCATCTGGAAGAGGTCATTTTCGACATGATCATCATTATTTTGAAATGCCTGCATAAGGTAGTTGAGAAATTTTCTTCAATGAGAATGGTTTTTCATACTCTTTCATAACACCGCCGTAGCCTTTCATGACAGAAGGTCTGGCTCCTTCGATATCACAGATGTCCATATAGTCTCTTCTCAGGTCTTTTGAAGTGAACTCGGTTGGCCTGGCCCCCTCTATATCACGGATGTTCATTGCTTTTCTTTTGCTTTAAATAAATATTAATATATGGGGTTTTGGGGTTTTGGGGTTTTGGGGTTTTGGGG